CAAGATATAGAGCCTAGTAGTAGATTTTGATTCAGGGTGACCATAAATTTGTCCCACTTGTCTTTAGCAGTAAGACAATTCTCAAACTCTTCAACATGGTCATTATGCATGTAATAGACTATACTATAATGTGCATAACGATCCTCTTTGGAACACTCTTCATAGGTTGCCAGTAATTCCTTGTACTTCCTTGTACTGCATACTAGCAGTATCCTTTAGCTCAAACACGGTAGTGGACTACGTTCCAAAACCTCGCATTCAATAAGATAATGAATCTTTCTTAGTTAGATGTCGTAATTGGTACAATCTACACTTTCGTTGGAGAACAAATGACAATCATAGATTTAGTCTTCATCTTTATATAGTGAAAGTAGCCGAATCTTTAATCCGATGATTACTGGAGTCACAGGTTTCCTCCATACTTTAAAAACTCAAGTCTGTCTTTTGATAGTTTCGACATAACAAGATAAAAAACTACTATAAAGATGTATAGTATATATTAACCACTATTGCTTCAAATTTCTTCTCAGGAAATAATCTCATTCATCAATCATATTGGATTAATGAAACGTAGAGTTTTTGTTAAAAAATGAAATAAATAACAATGCATCACATAAGTTGTTACTAATTACATGATAAAACGTACTAATTAAAAACAATAAATCGAAATAACTGTGGAAATGAGGAACAGACTCACAAGTCACAAGTAGATGAAAATGAAGAGAAATTCAATAATTATACATATGGCAAGCCCAAATATTACACGGAGATATGCTACTCCTAGTGAGCAAAAGATGAAGAGAAAATGAACAGAGGAAAAGCGACTTTGGGTTCAGAACATCATCACAGATCATCAGAACATAATTGTAAACTCATACTTCTTTTTTGCTTCGATTATTGAAGCCCATTTTCTCAAAGCATTTAATCGATAGTAAGGACAATGAAAGGTTCACCTCATCCTTTCCCCACCGAGCCTTAGACTTCCCCGCCCTCGTTGGCGGCGCCGGAGCCGGAGGCAGGCCGGGCCACGCGGAAAACGCCGGCGGTGCTGAAGGGGAAGGCGCAGCAGGCTTCAACAGCGGCCATAGGTGGCTCGAGTACAGCCGCCGGAAGCCGCCAAGTGCCAAAACGACGGCGCGCAGCTGCATAGGGCTCTGGTGGTACTGCCTAGTGCAGATCAGCTCCCAAAGCCGCTCGTCTTGCGCCGTCCTCCGCCACTGTCGGCTGACGCATGCTGCCTTTGCCAGAGTCCGGCCGTCGTCGACGTGCCGCAGAACCTCGTAGAGCAGATTCTCGTCCAGTAACACGGCTTCAACGTCCTTGGGCGTCACATCTACTTTTTCTACTTTCCCTTCTCCTTGCCGGATCTTCTTGTTCGCGTCGCTGCATCCGTGCGGCGGGCAGTCAAACTCTCCGCCGTCAATGGAGCGTTTCATCGGCGGATCGGAGGGTTCCAAGTGTGGGTGAGAAGAATTAGTTGGGGGACTCTGAGGTTTCGATTACCGTGGGGCGATTTGATCTGCGGAAGGGATTGGGGAATTGGTTGTTTTCAATTAGATCAAGATCGGAAATGAATGCTTTTGTTGTTATTCGCTAGATTGACGCTTTTGTCCCTGCGTCAAAGGCATTTATATCGATTTGGTCCATACATGTCGGCCTTATGCAAATAGGACCGATAAGATTATGAAAATAAAAGATTAGACTACACTAATTTTGGTATTTGGCAAATTGGATTAGTGGCATGGATGATTAATGATTGGGATTGATTTTTTTTTTTTTTTTCGAA